ACACATCAAATAGAAACAAAAAAAGATATCTCGCACTGTCAGTCATTACATATAATTACAATTATATAAATAACACCGAAGAACTCATATATCAACAGCTCGAGTAGCGCACACTACTAGTACTAATATCGAGTGTCTGACAGTGGCAGGGGAAGCGTCCAAGGTTCGATGCCGCGACCGTGATCTTTTAAACATTTTGTGAAAGTCGTCTTTGTTTAAGAAGGTCCACTTCCAGTAGCCCATTTTCTCCCCACATAACATTTCTTCATCCTCAGCAAGACCTGTTTTATTTTCCATTACAGTAATTCCATGTTCCAATGAAATCTAACTCTTCAATTTTAATATCAGCGGTCGGATCCTGAAATATGGAAGTGAAACTCAGTAAATTTTTACAGTCAAGTAATACTATAACTTCTATTCGTAAAATTTTACAAGATTTGTTCCCAGTTTCGGACAAATTCACAATATTACTACATAACAACTTAGTAATGTAAGCAGTAAGGGCCCTCTCCAAATTTTAATCTGTAGAAGTGCACGTGCAAATAACGCGCGGCTTCAATGCAAAAATACGTGTGTGCTCTTGGCGCGCGCTAAAACTCTGCGCTGAAAATATTGGTTTGGTACCACAACGAGAGTTTTAAAATTCCCGCCAATTTCAAACTCCAGAAAAAGAATCCGAAATTTTGGGACAGCCTAAAACATATTCTGATTAATGCTTTTCGACTTTATTTGTCCGTAAACTGACAACTACAGCAAATCTATCTTCTCTACGAACTGGGCCCGAGTTACTTGTTTTAAAATACAGCAAATCCATCTTCTCTACGAACTGGGCCCGAGTTACTTGTTTTAAAATACAGCAAATCCATCTTCTCTACGAACTGGGCCCGAGTTACTTGTTTTAAAAATACAGCAAATCCATCTTCTCTACGAACTGGGCCCGAGAATTACTTGTTTTAAAATACAGCAAATCCATCTTCTCTACGAACTGGGCCCGAGTTACTTGTTTTAAAATACAGCAAATCCATCTTCTCTACGAACTGGGCCCGAGTTACTTGTTTTAAAATACAGCAAATCCATCTTCTCTACGAACTCTAGCGAATCTAAATTGAAATAGTCGAATATCACTCAATTTCAGTTGCAGGTCGACATCCTTAAAATTAGAGAGCAAATAATTTTATTTTGTACTCTACTTCAGTCAATATAAATAGAAATTACAGCAATTTGAAGTAACACCATATCAAGCTATATCATACATAATTATGAAAGCCTCGCAGAGATCTCGATTAAATCTGTAAACGTACATTTAACGGTAAGATATATAGATAGCGCACAATATATGCACACGCATAAAACCAATATGGCTGCCACACAAAGCTACAAACTGGAACAAGAAATGAAAATTGTGAATTCAACCAGCTTGGATACAATTATCCAACGCGACATTGGTTTGGGCGCATTATCGACACGTTTTAAATGCGCGGAACATTTTTGTGCGCGGCACTAGCATTTTAAATTTTCAAAATTCAAATCATAGCCAGAGTTATGGTTATTTTTCAAAACAAATTTTGAGGCAAATTTTACGTGTAAATTATTCATTTTTCATTCATAATCACTCATAATTTCAACAATTTACCTTGGATTGAATTGAACTCTTCAGTATTCGATGATTAAAACAATTGTTTTAAGAACAGAGTAGTTTTAAAGCTAAACATTCGCAATTTGTCTTAACAGGAGTCTTGGGAGAATTATAAAAATGAAATTTAAACGTTTTAGCGGCGCATGAAGCCTGCGGCGTTCGCTGGGGTGGTGTATATTCGATTGTTTAAAGTTAAGAAATATTCAGTTAAACAAAAATTCAATTTTATGCCATTTATTACAGAGTAAACAAGTTTACAATAAATCAATTTGATATTTAAAGGAATCCTAATTCAATGTGTAGTATGGTTGTTAATGTTGGTAGCAATGGACCACTTCCGTAGCAATGGACCACTTCCGTTACCTTTGTATTGTGCTCTGCTAATTGCATCACTTGATTTAATTGAATGTATATATTGTTTGAATGAACGTTTTTATTTTTGTTTTCAATCGTTAAATTTTTTAGAACCAAGCCCCTTTTCTGCACAGAAGGTTTTGATAAATTATAATTTCAAATTTGGACTCGAAGTGTTGAAACACCCTGTATTATTAATATTCTAAAATTAGCTATATTCAACAACGTGATTATAACCAGACATTTTTATTCACCAATATTACTTATTTTCTTTTACAATTCGCTCAGAAAGTCGTGGTGTCAAAAAATGGCAAGGGATATATTATATCATGTCGCTTTTTACAGAGTTGTTAATAGTAAAGACTAGCACAATGAATATCAAGTGGTGAAACTTACTTGTGTGTCGCTAAATTAATTTGCTGTTCATCTAAATTTATCTAATAACCTAAAGAAAGGTTGGGCCTTCTTTTTGCCGCCCCTTACAGCTTTTTGCCTACCCCCAATGTGAATATCTTAGGTTCAATCCAATGTCACTAAACGTTTTATAAACTTAGAAGGTCCTGGGTTCGAATCCCTGTGTTGTTGACGTTCAGCTTAGGATCCTTAGTGGTCTATGCAGCCACCCGGTCTCAGGAGGTGACCGGGAATCCCGGTACCGGGATTGGCAATTTTGAGCTACCCCGGTCCCGGTCAACCGGGTCAAGTCACATTTTTCATCCCGGTCCCGGTCCCGATCCCGGTCAAATGCTGATTTATGATCCCGGTCCCGGTCCCGGTTAATTCAGGATTCTTGGTCCCGGTCCCGGTCAATCACTCAAATTTGCCGGGATTTTGACCGGGATCTTTTACATAATTTCATTCACTGTGATTTTAAGTTTTTACTTTCATTCATTGTGAATTTCATCTTTAAACAACCTCTGAGCCAAATAAAACAATGTTTAAAATTGCTAAACAAGTTTAGGTAACTAATATCGTGCAAACTAACATCAAGTTTTCAACTCAGGCTACGCCCAATTGTCAATTGGAATTGGAGAATGAAACTGTTGAATAATTTGAGGGATCATTGATTGAGGAATGAGGAATGAGGGTGAACTTGAGTAATCAGTACATGAACATTATTGGTGTAGTACATTAGGCCCATGCCCCATATTGACGGTTTTTAAAAAGTTTTTTCCAATTTAATATTCTAGTTATTACTTATTCAAATTGTTCAATTATAATGTAAATGAAAGTTGCAGCTTTCAATATGAGAATACCAGTTTTGGTCCCGGTCATCCGTGTAAAATTTGATTGTTGGTCCCGGTCCTGGTCCCGGTAAGATAGAAATCCCAGAAATTATTGGTCCCGGTCCCGGTCACGGTAAATTGATAATCTCGGTCCCGGTCCCGGTCAAGTCACATTTCGTATCCCGGTCCTGGTCAGGCCTAAAATCATGTCCCGGTCACCTCCTGCCCGGTCTACTCAGCCGAATACTCGAGAAATCGGGTGTGAGGGTTAAATGAGGAGCTGCACATTGCAGCAAAGTCTCGGGCGAAGAAAGTATGGTACACACCTCCCCTAAAATTTTGTGTTCCTAAAAAAAAGGTTGGGTACTTTTTTTGGCGCCCCCTACAGCTTTTTGCCGCCCCCTGAAGCAAAAATGGTACCCCAAATATTTTTTCACGTCGACCGAACGCTAAATTCGACAGGGCAGTACACCAATAAGGCGCTTTTTTCCGTGAAATCAGACCTACAATCCAGGAAAATGCCGCCCCCCTGCTAGCAGGGTTAGCAGTGGCTGTTGGAATACACTGAAGTAAAATAAGTGTCTTGATAAAAAAATTTGATTTACCATTGCTGAAATTATCGTGGTTATTGTTTGAATCGTTTACTTTTCTTCTCAATGTTTTACAGCAATAATCACGAAAATCATATCCCCCTTAGATTGCACCACTGTTATATAAATATGCCTCACCTCAACAACTTTTAATCATTCTTGCTTTTCAGTAATCATGTCTAACTGTCCCGACTCCTTTGAACATTTCCTGCTGCATGGAGATGAAAAGAAGATAACTATCATACAAGATACTAAAGTCCCAAATGCTGCCTCATTTTCAATGAACAAAGAAGATCACACACTTGGAAATTTAATCAGAGAGCAGCTCTTGCATGAACCACATGTTGTGTTCTCCGGATACAAGGTTCCCCATCCTCTAGTTGCTGAAGTTGTCGTAAGGGTGCAGACAGATGGAGAAATAACCCCCCAGGAAGCATTTTCATCCGCTCTTACAGATCTTGTGTCGGAAGTTTGCTTATTAGAGGAGAGATATAAAGCTGCTTTGAGAGACAAGCGTGATCAGTTGAACAACTGAACCTTCTCACATTTTATATTGAAATATTTATTTGATTAAACAGATTCCACTGTACTGTCATTTTTACAATATGAGATTTTGTGGATTAACTGCCATCCTAGTATGAGACTTGTAGGCTATATTTCATAACCATCTTAATTTTTTAGACGAACAGTCACAACAAATTATAATTTTAGTTACCAAATATGTCATTGAGCACTGCCACAGTCTATTTTTTATTGATTGCCACATCATTCCACTTTAGTACAGTGATATTCGAGTTATGATATCAATTTTTAAAAACCTCAAACGTGGAGTGTCACAGTGAACATTTATTTAATTCTGAATATCTTAAAATTATTCAAGCTTTTTAAGATTTTCAAAATTTGTGATTGTGATATCAACTCCAATATTATACCAATTTTACATTCGTTAAAAATGTTACCTTCTTCAATTTAAAACGTTGAATTATAATGTCATACAATGATGCAAGTTATCAAGAGTTTGGTATTGATGTAACATGAAGGATTTGTTTCACTTCTGAATGAACAAATAATCATTTTCGGTACCTAAAATCTACGTAATGTCAAAAATCAAATCCAAATTTGTGTAAATTGTCGAATATTTCATTGTGCTAATTACATGTCGTATAAGTTTTTAGTTGCTTTTAACATCAAATTATTTAGCCATGAAACCACCCAATACAGAGATGGAAAGCATCTACCCAGCATATGTTGGACCATATAAAATTGGTAAAACTCTGGGACAGGGACAAACCGGTGAGTTAGGAGATGTTACAATCTCATTACATCATCTGATACAAGATACCTTGATCAGATCACTGTGAAATGCCTTTATGCTTTTATCCAATCCAATGTTGCGCACAGGTGTTAAGCATTTAACTATCAAACATATTATAGAGGAAACGTCATTATAAAATCTGCTAAACAATTCTATTGGACGATCTTGAGTCCCGTCTTTTTATGATTTAGAGTATTTGTAACCTTATATGGCAATGGAAACCTATAATTTGCATTTTGTCTATTTCTGGAGGATGGTTAGCAAGTTAGCACAGACGGCTTGACATTTAACCTCGGACCTTGGTTTTGTCGATATTTCATTCAATGCAACCCAGTAACTTGTCCATGCAGTCTAAATACCTCTTTAGATTTTGTCTAATTCTGGAATTTCCTAAGAATTTGATTTACAGCGATGTATTTATAGATAATTAGTACTGTAAAGCTAAAGAATTCGTTTACTAGAACTTGCTCTCACCAGGAATTGTTAAATTGGGAGTCCATTGCAAAACAAGAGAGAAGGCCGCTATAAAGATAATCAATAAACAGAAACTCAAGACCTCTGTTCTGCAAAAGGTAAACTTGATTTTTATAACTCTTCATAAATTATAGTGTACTATGTGCAAATTACTCTCAAAGGTCACTCTTGAGTTTTTAATGACTGAAGTTTATTTGTATCTTTGTAAGACATTTTTAAAAATCATTGATTATAATAATATTAATTGTTTGCTCTTGTCTACTAATGACAACTTTTTGGCTGCTGCATAATTCTTGTTCAATGATATATTCTGTAATTACTCAAAGGTTCTTTCCTTGCTTGACCTTCCCTAGAAATATTTTACATGATAAAAATGGTAAAAACTATAAATATGATCTAGTCAAACCATCGTATTACAGGTTGAGAGGGAGATAGCAATTATGAGATTAATTGAACACCCCCACATTCTGGGCTTATACGATGTTTATGAGAGCTCCAGATACTTGTAAGTTTTATTTCGATAAATTGTAGCGATTTTTACTTGTCTAGTGTTTTGAATCCTTATTTGAATATCCGTGTTATTTTCATATTTTACATTTCTTTATTGTACTACTAGACTACTAGTCGGTGCAAAAGTATGAACTCCCTCAGTCGAAACCAGCGGCATTAGAGTACATTTAATTCACTTATCCAAAAGTAATACTTGATAGAAAATCTTGTGGCTCCTGGCTCAACTGCCAAACTACCTAATTATGTACGAAGACTGTAATTAGGAGAGCTGTAAATGGGCAGAGAGAATGAGAGAGCTCAAAATAGACTGCATTGAAATTGTCAATAAAAAAGGATTGCACAGTACACAGTTTATATTTTTTTAAATAATTGAATAACCATATTTTTGTCAATCAAAGTAATACATCATAAAGAACAGAGGTCCCAAAACAGACCTTTGAGGCACACCTGCATCCTGCATCCAAATAACACTCATCTGATATTCCTTTTTTACCTGCCTGTTCGTATCTTATAACCTTTTATTGGAAGACAACTTATCTTATAACCTTTTATTGGATGACAACTTTCGTGTGTAAAGATAAGATACCATATTGTACAACCCCCACTTTATAGCCATGTAAAATGACAGGTAGGTATTAGGTAACTCTGAGTAAAGGTATTGGAATGTTGGAATAGTGGTAAGGTATTTAGATGAGTTTGACATGTTGTAAGTAGTGTGTGGGCGTATTAAAACACGATTTAGTTATTGGTTTAGATACCTAAGGTTAACACTTAACAGTGTCGGGGCATTACTTTGAGCTGATATTTATCAACATGTCTTCATCACACACATAATATCATGGTAATTTACCAATACGTGTTCTGGAGTTATGAAGGACGCAGGTAGACCGTAGATGGTTCTGTAAATCGACTGATTTGATTAATTTTTGTGGCCATCATGTAAACCATTAGTTGAATTGGGGTAGGAATCTGTGAACTATTAAATAACTCAACCATTTGGCTATATTATATATAATCTGACAAGGTGGATATGGAATCGGGGGGGGGGGGGGGGGTGATCAAGTCTGGTACTCAGTGTATGATCCCCCCTCCCCCGATGAAATTGCTTTGACTGGATGTGTCCCTAAGCTGGATAGTAATACTACAAAGCAGAACTAATAACGCGCTCACGTGCTCAGTATGGTAGGACTACCAGTGACATTCACCTCTGTCCTCTGTAACTTTTGGTGATTTTAAGCGTGGAAGTGGGGAAGCTGGGGTCTTTATGAACGATTATATCTGTTAGATTTCGAAACTCCTTGACCACCATGACCATTATTATGCCCTGTCATATTACATCGCTGTAAAGTGAGGCATGTTTTTTGACACGTGACACTGACAGCAATTAAGCGATCAACATCAACCTTTTGACCTATCAAACTCCAGAATCACTGTCACTTGTAAAAATACGTCTCACCTCCCCCACCAGAATCCACATCTTTTAATTTACAAATTTTATTTCATTTTATTTTATGTTGGTGGGGAAACTTCAGATAATCATCACGAGAGGAGATCCATATCTAGTCCAAATTATTCGTTATAATATAATAATGTCGAAATTATTAATTAATTATTTATTTAAGTACTAATTATTTATTATAAAAAACTGATTCTCCTTTTGAACAGGTACTTAGTACTGGAGCACGTCTCTGGGGGTGAATTATTCGACTATTTGGTAAAAAAAGGACGACTTAGCCCAAAAGAGGTATGTCCTGATATTCCAGCTTTCTATTATGTTAAATTATTGTATCTAAAATTAACTGAAACTGTGTTTTCAAACGGTTTTGCTGTTCAAAGTTGTTGTTTTTAACATTGCCTTTTCTAAGCTATGTGGAGACGACAACATGATCCACGAATATTTCAGGCGTGTCATTTCTTCAGACAAATCATATCAGCAGTTGACTTCTGTCATCGGTACGGAGTATGGTAAGTTTACATTCTGCTTCTTATATATTCTACTTCTTTGGACTCTGTTTGTTGAAGGACGATGTGCTCTTGTAGAAATTAAAGTCCCGTAAATGATATTCATAAATTTGGCAGTTGTCACTCTTCCGAGGAACCCAAATACGCCATGACTTTGCCATCTTAGTGTATGTATTATATATAATCCAGATCAATTTAAAAGTCAAAAATTTAACAGGAAATTTGATTTCAATTATTTAGTTGACAGAATTTTATCTCAAGTACCAAATAAAGTATAAACTATTCGGTTCATTCTCACCAGCCTATTAGTGTACTTCTGCCTTCATTCCAAGTACCAGTCACATTGTTTACATAATATTGTGTTAACAATTTACATTTGTGTTTACACGACGTGTTACTGCAATACTGTTATAGGCAGTCAGACCGACTGCTTAAACTAGTTTCCTACATAATTCTGAGACAAACTTTGTAGTGTTTCCGTTATTGCGACAAGGAAAAGGCTCCAGAATCATTACAACAATGTACGACTAATAAATAATTTTCCGGTCCGGATATTACATAGTTAGCCACAAAATGCACTTCTCGGTCTCCAAGTACAGATAGCTACATTTTACAAGCAAATAGAGGAAGCCTTATCATTCCTACACGTTACGTACATACAACAGAGCTTTCGGCATCCTGTGTTCTGATTTACTAGTATACTTATATATTTACTACTGGTAGCAGTCTCCTACTCAGTAGTAGTACAATGCTTTTGGACACGAAGGGAAACACACAATGTAAGGCTTGAAATCTCCGTAAAACTACATCATTAGAGCCTGTAAAACATTTTTAAGATAAGCACTCTATCAAATAAAATTCATATACTAATTACTAAGTAGTAGTATTTGTTCAATAAGTATTAGTGGCCTATACAATATACATACTTGTTTTTGGCTACTCATGTATACGCTATAGCTATGTTGTATACACGAGTTGATTAGAATGACTTTACTTATACATATAATGCTAGTAGGATTCCCATCATACGTTGAACGATTATAATATACCGATATTCAATATTGCTATGTATATTGTTTGTAGTATTTAATTATTTAAATATGATAATTAGTATATACTATACTATACCACGTGTACGGATCTAATTTCTTTGTGCTGTCGTACTGGCTACTAGTGCTTTATTGTCGCTATTTTAGGGAGGCGGATTCTAGATAATAAACATAACATCGACTCCCAAAAAAAAGGCGACCAAGTAATTTATTAGATAATTTTAAAACAGTTTGAAAACGTAATTCAGCATAATAGTGTAGGTTATTAACTCAGGTGGCCGTAAAAATGTCCAGACTTTTTGGAGTCCAGCTGATTCTATGAGGGTGTGGCACGGCGGCTTTTTAATGATTTTGAAATAGTTAAATTATTACATTATAATATACTTGGGTCGCTTTTATGCTATCTGCATAAAAATATGCCCAACCAAAGTGATTTCTGTATATTAACTAACATTGATATTATCGAGCAACTTTCATGTATGAAAACAGAAAAGCGCTACCTCCGCCGCGGTGGTAGCGCCTTTCTGAGCTCCCAATTAACCGCTGTTCATAATTATTTCAATGCAATACTACAGTTTAAGTCCATGTCCGTGCGGCAAGTAGTTATAATTAGTGGAACTGGAAGTCCCAGAAGTTTGAATTATAGAATTAATGCTAGTTCCAGCAGTTTTTGTAGCTGAGAATCTTGCTTTAAATCAAGTATGATTTAGTATTATAACTCGACGGGGGGGGGGGCCAATGACTACTTTTGGGGACTTAGGGAATTACGTCAACGATTTTACCCCGAGTCCCCATGATTTTTAGTCCCCATTAGTCCCCAAAAGTCTCCATTAGTCCCCATTTAGATGATTTTTGGTCCCCATTAGTCCCCAAAAGTCTCCATTAGTCCCCATTTAGATTTATCCTACTCTTATCTTGGACAAAACATCTCGATCGTATCGTTATTAAACTAACTTGAAAACCATAAATAACTGTCAAAAATTTTAATTCTGGGGACTTATGGGGACAAATGGTGAATTACGTCAACGAGTTGACCGCTAGTCCCCATGATTTTTAGTCCCCATTAGTCCCCAAAAGTCTCCATTGGTAGTCATTGCCCCCCCCCCCCCCCCCCCCCCCCCAACTTGACCCAATAAACTCCTTGACTTGGATAAACCATTTTCAGTGCATACAATGCTATTCAAATGTTCTTCAAGGAGCAAATATATAATACTAGAAACCCGCTAGTCGAAAGCTTTGTTCGAGGAAATTTTAAAAATCAGTTATGTTTTAATTTCTCTTCATCATACAGCTCTGTTATACAGTAGACATAATGGAATTTATTTAACAATGGCGACAGCGTTGTTAGTATTCGGATTCCCAAAACGATACTTTTTACCGCATCAAAAAATACCAATCACAAACAAAGTTATGAATATAAGTCATAGCGTGAGCGTAAATGTGAGCTAGTTTTGAAGTTATGACGTAGCATACAGCATAACAACGCGCGTAGTTAAGATGTTCTTGCTCGCGCACGTGCATTTTTATCGTTGCTACGCAACAGCGCAGTAAACCTTTGCTAAAATAACGCCATTATTCTAACGATTATTTAACCTCACTTCCGACGTTAATTATAAAAAATCTAAAGCCTAAATCAAAATTCTAAGAATGCTATAGCCTATTCCTATCCTTTTTCTACAACCCAAAAAAAATCTTAGACAATTCTACAATATACTGCCTTGAGGCTTAACTTCATATGCATCATTTATTAACCCTGATATAACAGTTTAACCACTCCATCATAATTTAACTTCGTGTTTTTATCACTTCCACAGAAAAAAAGTTAACGAAATCTTAAGTCTCATTTTTCTATGATTGCAACTTAAATAATAAGAGATACGGAGGTTAGAACACACAGTGATCGGTTACTTATTTTGTTTCGCCCTAGTTTATGATCAGTTACAGGTATATAAATACATTTTAAGCACCTTCATTTCTCACCCGTAGTTCTTTCAGTCATCGAGATCTGAAGCCTGAGAACTTACTGCTTGATGACAACAAGAACTTAAAAGTAGCTGATTTTGGGATGGCATCGTTACAGCTTGAGAACTCACTTCTTGAGACGAGTTGCGGGTTAGTCAATAAATAAATTTATTGATCGGATAATTTTGATCTCAATTGAATATTGATTAATAATCAACTTTCTCAGCCGAAATTTCATTTATATGTTGATTATTGAACAATGCACGTTTAGGCTTTCCTTGCAAACACATCACACTCATGGTTAAGTCAGCCATTCTAAGCTCTGGGATAAAAGGGGTTTCTTGAGCGTCACGTACAGTACTAAGTGTATGATCCCCCCACCCGTCTTGAGTTCAATACCATCCATTGTTGTACGTGTGTAGACTATAAGATCTTGAACAGCGGTCCGCCTTTGGCAGGTATCCATTGATACCTCAGCACAAGCTGTTACAATGACTGAGTTTCCTAATATTGCCTAATTGGTTTGAGAGGGGGCATTTTCTCTGAATTGTGACAAGCCCAGCCGTCAGCTACAGTAATCGAATAATAAATGGAAATTTATGACGTGATGAAATTTATTCGTCATGTTGATTGATTATCATGGTTCAACTGACATAAATGATTTTAACAATAACGATTCCTTCACAATATTGAACAGCCTAATTTTCAGCAACAAAACTTGGTAAAATTCAAAATTGTATTATTATATTCATATTCTCCAAAATAATATCATTATTTACGATGCTTTTATTCTAATTTCTAATGAGATGACAATCTCAGATCTCCCCACTACGCATGTCCTGAAGTGATTAAAGGAGGTCCTTACAACGGCAAACAAGCTGATGTGTGGAGTAGTGGGATTATTCTATACGCCCTGCTCGTGGTTAGTACTTTAGTTAGTACTTTAGTTAGTACTTTAGTTAGTACTTTAGTTAGTACTTTAGTTAGTACTTTAGTTAGTACTTAAGTTAGTACTTTAGTTAGTACTTAAGTTAGTACTTTAGCTAGTACTTTAGTTAGTACTTTAGTTTGTACTTTAGTTAGTACTTTAGTTAGTACTTAAGTTAGTACACCCTACTTTAGTTAGTACTTTAGTTAGTACTTTAGTTAGTACTTTAGTTAGTACTTTAGTTAGTACTTTAGTTAGTACTTTAGTTAGTACTTTAGTTAGTACTTTAGTTAGTACTTTAGTTAGTACTTTAGTTAGTACTTTAGTTAGTACTTTAGTTAGTACTTTAGTTAGTACTTTAGTTAGTACACCCTACTTTAGTTAGAACTTTAGTTAGTACTTTAGTTAGTACTTTAGTTATTACTTTAGTTAGTACTTTAGTTAGTACTTTAGTTAGTACTTTAATTAGTACTTTAATTAGTACTTTAGTTAGTACTTTAGTTAGTACTTTAGTTAGTACTTTAGTTAGTACTTTAGTTAGTACTTTAGTTAGTACTTTAGTTAGTACTTTAGTTAGTACACCCTACTTTAGTTAGTACTTTAGTTAGTACTTTAAATAGTATACCCTACTTTAGTTAGTACTTTAGTTATTACTTTAGTTAGTACTTTAGTTAGTACTTTAGTTAGTACTTTAGTTAGTACTTTAGTTAGTACACCCTAATTTAGTTAGTACTGTAGTTAGTACTTTAGTTAGTACTTTAGTTAGTACTTTAGTTAGTACTTTAGTTAGTACTTTAGTTAGTACACACTAATTTAGTTAGTACTTTAGTTATTACTTTAGTTATTACTTTAGTTAATACTCTAGTTAGTACTTTAGTTATTACTTTAGTTAGTACTTTAGTTAGTACACCCTAATTTAGTTAGTACTGTAGTTAGTACTTTAGTCAGTACTTTAGTTAATACTCTAGTTAGTACTTTAGATGATACTTTAGTTAGTAGTTTAGTAAGTGATTTAGTTAGTACTTAGTACTTTAGTTGGTAAACCCTTATTTTACAGTCCTGAGTCCTCAAAACTCATATAACCAAACATAGTATAGTATAGCTCAGATAACGATATTAAATACACATTTATATTTGTATCACCATTAACAGCGACTATGGAACTTACATGATACGCAAATACTATGTAGTTGAAACTTAGGGAGCGTTCACATAGTACGTCAGCATGGGGAGGGGGCTGTGAAATGCTGACGGTTGCCAATCTAACTTTTTCTCCATAATATTAATAATATATTCGTCAAATCCTGTCCAAACCCAGGATACATGACATAAAAGATTCGTTTTAACTTGTTTACATGAAAAGCATTAATACCACGGTTAGTCAGCACTGATTGTAAGTGGTAATATTATGTAATTCATGCTGGATGTAATCTTATAAAGGGTGTAAAATGTAGATGTAGCTGTCTAAAACCCCTTTAAAATAATTCCACCGACCTCGCGCCAAATATTTCCTACTAATCTTGATCTTGGAAGCTTTCTATATCCAACTTACAAACGGGAAAAAGTAAAAAATGTAGCATGTGCAAGCGCTCTGATTTTAATGAATATTTTAATTAGTAATTTGTCTTTATATGGAGAATATTTGCATGCCCTTAATCTATGAGCAACTACATGGTTTACTCATCAGTCATCAACACTAGATTATTGCGAAAAGTTGCATTAAATCGCTGCGAATCCTGTATCGTGCACGTTGATGTACAGTACATGTCTACCAGCTATGTAAACAATAACATGGTATGTTATTTTAGCTAACCAGTAACCTTGTATCACCACATCAGCAATTAGCTTGCTTTAATACCAATCGGATTTAAATTGTTGATTCGTGATGAAAATTATGATAAAGTTTGCTCAAGATTCAATTTAGGACCTTATTGGTTAATTATATGGGGTAGATACTAGATGTTATAAGAAGACGAAAACAAACAAGAAGTGCACACTGCCCCCCCCCCCCTACACACTGCCCCCCCCCCCCCCCCCCCCCCCCCCCCCAGGCCCAGTGTGTCAAGCTATTTATTTTAAAGATGTATGCCCAACCCAGGACAATGTATAAATATGTTGAAATAATGAAGATATATGATCGTGGACGGTCTCTAAATGTTTCTGGAGGGCTTTAATTTCAGTTCGTTTGGTATAAAAATTCTCCTGCATATATTGCTGTTACAGAACCCTTCATCAATTCTTAGGTTGACAAGTTCCCTCCAAAGTTTTCTGGTTATAAAACTATGCTTCAAAAGAAGTTTCACTTTATTTACTGATAATCTAACCTGTAGAGCGCCAGTATTGAAGTATACAAGTTGAGTTGGAAAGATAAATTTGCTAAATGAACATTACTTAGTATTTAATACTAACTTTGCAGGTCTCTTCAATCATTCGAGTGGCCTGCACCAATGAACTCCCGTTTGTGTCGTATCATCTCCCTCCAGTGTTTGGCGTTTGCGGTCACTAGCCATCTCGCTCGCTCCTTCTAGATCTATATCCTGGTGTTTCCTGAAAACGCTGCAGCATCTTCCAGCAAACATTTCATCCAGTTCTTTCTTAGACGACCCCTAGATCTTCTCCCATGCGCAGGGGTCCAGTTAAGCAGGTACTTAGGAAGCCTGGTGTCTAGCATTCTGGCGACTGGTCAAACCAGTGCAGGCGGTTTGCTTCTATGTACATCTCTACTGGATTCTGTGTTTCTAACCCGGTCGAGCCATCTTATCTTAAGACGTATTCTCCTCAAGCAACGCTGATGGAACACCTCAAAGCGATGTAGCTGCTTTTTGGTTGTGTGTCAAGCTTTTTACCATTGATTCTGAGACCTCCCTGGGCAGCGTACATACACAAAAGGTCAGTTGTTTCTTGAAGACCTTTCTCGTTGTTATCCAGAACAGCCATGTAATCTGCTTAATCCGTATCTAACACAGTGATATCATCAACAAGCGGACTGATGGATCATTGAAGAACTGCTCCGTGAGACACCATTTTGCTGCTTTCTGTTCTCTCAGCAGCCACATTGAGGTAGACATTAAAAAGCGGTGGACCCTGAATGTCTCCTTGGCCAATGCCTGAACTTACCTACAAGACATTTTTATAACGTACGAAATGCGACGGTTTTCCCGAAATTTCGCCATATTTTCGGACCGCCAAAATTTCGGTCGTCGTAATAGAATCCGTCGCATTATTTTTAGCTTATTCCAATAATTGTGGCTTCATCGATTCATTTTGTTCTTGAAAAGTTAGTGATATGATGGTGGGACAAATAAACACAATATTCCATGATGAATTTAATGTCAAGTTATACGTTTTAAATTTACAATAAATTAAATTTATGTGCTAACATAAACGTCTTATAGACTAAGTCAAGATAAACAATTTAAGACCAAACTCAATAAGTGAAACTGAAAGATTCGAGCCGGACCCCTTAGAGGAAGATGAAGAAATCGATTTATAAGTTTCATTTTGTTTCAACATGATTTTACCGATTTTTAGAAAATTTTGAATTTCCTTTGTGTCAGAAAACAAAATGATGAAAAATACCCTTATTTTCTGTGACGTCCGAAATGTGACGGTTTTTGTTCAATTTCGCCATATTTTCGGACCGCCAAAATTTCGGTCGTCGCACATTGGTCCGCCACAAAAATGTCTTGTAAGGTACTTCAAACCATTCTGACAATTCACCGTTGTGTCTGACAGCACTGACAGTTCCATTAAAAAATGCCTGGCCAGGCCCACGTGGTCCTATACTGTCACGTGGTCCTATGCTGTCACGTGGTCATATGCTGTCACGTGGTCGTCTGCTGTCACGGCTATGCTGTCACGTGGTCCCATGCTGTCACGTGGTCCTATGCTGTCACGTGGTCGTCTGCTGTCACGTGGTCGTCTGCTGTCACGTGGTCGTTAACTCTCACGTGGTCGTCTGCTGTCAGGATGTCTTCTATCAACTTGAAATTTACCCCGGCCATGATAGACATTATTAAGATTTCGTCGTTAAAATATAAAGACAGTAATCCAGCTCAGGCCAGTATTCATTTGCTAAAACTGGTATTTTATAAGCCTTTGACTATCTTGTTTCTAAGATTAATGTTATAAGCTGTTTGAACACCATATAAGGCACTAATCCTTCAATCACCACTTCCTCCTACCTTTAATGTTCATTTTTTAATTTATAAATGAGGGGGATAGGCCAAACGTTTTACTGTCACCTGCTCACCTGGTAGAGTGGTAGCGATTAACCAAACAGCTTTTAGCTGGGACCTATCAAAATCACGAATAAATGATAACTGATTTAAAATGTATTATATTCAACTTCCAGCAAGTTAACAAGTTTTCTGGTTCTTCAAAAATTGATGCCAACAGCTAATTCAGCTACAGCACTCAGTAGTAACAAAATACCTAATCCAGCTAAATCTAATGAGCTGTTCAACAATGGACATGCCTGCCCCCCCCCCCCCCCCCCCCACCTAGTTAATAACAGCAGTATAATATCTAACATGTCTAATAGTACCTCTAATCTACTTAGAGGTCCCACAAGTGTCATGTATCGTATTATAATATTTGAAGTGTGATATTATAACTGTATTTTAAGTATCATACCACAGGTAGAGACTGTTATAATAATATCTCCACCGGGGCCCGGGCCAGGTTGCTACTGATACACAGTTCTATAACTGACATTTGATATGCACTCAATATGTCACGCACTATTAGTTGAGTATTATTGGCATTCTCCTTGTACAGGGTAGTGGTCACATACTTTACATTGTCAGTCCAGCTTGAGGAGCTTTAGGTAGCTTGAATACAGTGAAAGATAACGTAACACATGTCACATGACGCCATCATGTAATCACGTGACGTCACCCTGATATCACGCACTATTAAATAATTAAATGGGTATTATTGGTATTCTCCTTGTACTTGAGGTGGAAACTAATTATAGAACTTAGGATATTTAACGAAAATCATCCATCAGAACGTCCTTCATAATCGGAGGAAAACATGTATATTATATTATTAAACTATGCACCTGTTTAAAACTTCTTCCGATTTTTATTACGGTATAGTGCATGCGCATTATATATTATTATAGTATAGTGCATGCACATAATCATACTTTCAAAATATAATACGCGGCTTTCAACTTGGTTACCTCATATAATAACCATATAATATGAGGGTGTGGCTTGAAGAGTTGTACTAATTATACCTACCTCATATATTATGAGTATTGTATTGTACTAACCATATAGCATCCCAATATCTCGTGTTCTCGTTCCTAATTGTTATTCGGTGCGGGCGGTATACATTTTTGGATTAATATGCATTATGCATATATAAAATGAAATGAAATAATGTGCTCGCATAGTGCATGCCGTCCATATGGTTAGCTACTAACCATGTAAGAGCGGTTCTAAATGGTGAGGAGAAAATATCCAGCAACAAACAGCTAGATCATAAAATATCCATAAAATCAAAGTATTGTGTCAGATTACAATATGTGTGAGATCTTTAATGGATAAAAGTTTAGAATTTTTTAATGGGGGTAAAGTGGTCAGGAGACGTAACAACTTATTTTGTCGCAAAATTATAATTTTTAATTTAGTCAAGAAATGCGGGATAATTTAAAGATTTAAGGCGTTGCGAGGATTACTCACTTGTGATGATATAATCGCCATTTCTTCGTTACATTCGCTCGCGCTATGTGCTTAAGTTATACATAATATTATGCAACATTTTTCAGATTTACATGGTAGGTCACAGTAATTTTGTTATATCGGATCTAACTGGTGACTAGCCTCTACTGTAGATATATTATACAGATTTACAATATTTATTATATTTTATTTATTATATATCTTCGTCACTCCCTTGTCTGTGAGAGTCTCTAAGTTTCGATGGAGAATGTTAGGACATATCTTAAGAGGACAGGAAGACTCACCAGCATACACCTCTATGTTATTTGCTATAAATTCTGATATTTTTATGGAAGGGAGACGGGGTAGACCATGTTTAAACTTATTAGATGTTATTAGAAAAGACTTGACTAGTAGAAATCTTGATATTAGACTTAAGAATTTGACTGATTTCGAAGACCTTAGATTTTTAGCTTTAGATAGGGAGGAGTGGAAGAAGTTAGAAGATGGTTGATGTTTTTGTTTTCTTTTTTATGAGTTTTGATATCTATATGGTGCCTAGGATGCTCTTTTAAAGAGATATTTCGTACTTTGAAAGATTTACTACTATATATCTTCGTTATAATTGGGGTCAAAACGACTCAAGAGAACTCAAAACTACTCATACCTACTCAAAATTCCCGAAAATATGAAATAATACAGTAAATCCCTGCTTTACCTCGCCCTGGCCCATGATTGACCGCAAACCTCGACCATTTACTGCGAACATTTCCTTCCCCCAAATAGGGCTTTATAATGTAAACAAACAAAACCTCTGTCTACCGCGGCTGTACTTTTTACTAAACTCCGCAGTAAATCTGGGTTTTACATGATTGTTAACAGCTGTTATAACCGTAACGTGTCGTCTAATTGGCGCACAGGATAGAATATAATGTAGTATATAACATTCGTCAGACCAATGTTATGAAATACATTATTTACAACCAGGTGTCCGGAAATGTAACGTACAGTACCTGATTTCATTTCAAAGACATTTTCTCAGAAAGGTTTATTTTTCTGCATATTCAATATTCATACTAACCGTGAATATAACGATAATTTATTTAATTGTATTTATCAAGGAAGCTGGAAATACTTATTAACAACTACGTCCCACATAAAAATCATATCGAGTCAATCGCTTGTTTGAAGGGAAATTTGAGATGTTGAAAATAAGAATTCATAAGTGGCATTCAAATTTAGGTTGAGTATTCGTTTTCATTAGAGGCATGCATTCTGTAAATATCTGAGTTTGATAGTTAAGGAATTTTCGAGACAAAAGTATGTCTTCTCTGCAGTTGATCCGTATATACAAACATTGTTCCCTATATTATGTTCCTGTAAACACATTTTAGTAGATGCGGCGTGCTACTACTTAAGTGTATCCGACACTACTAATTCATCACTCTAAATTACTAAATTAGTCTTTATCTGCCGCTGTTGTTGATCATTGGTATGTGAAGGATGAGGTTTGCGTATAGTAAGATACAACGATACTAATTAATAGTTTCGTACAATTAGTAAGCATTCTTGCCAGCAGAAAGCCTGTAAACACAAGTAGAATGTCCCACTATGCACATATACAATCGTATGTACCCTTTAATACCTGCTCGTGATGAAACATTTTATCCTTCAATATGCGGGGATAGCTCTGTTTGATTAATTGCCCCAAATCAATCATATATGTAAGCAGGTGGTTTCGGGTATGTTACTCTGCAACTTGATGAATTAGCCCAATCTTCACTCGCTAGTACTGATCAATTTCTTTGTTCGAAAACAGTGTCAACGGTTGGCAAATTTGGTCAATCAGTCATGATATTTGTAACGCGCGCTGTTCTTATTTTGCAGTATTTCACGCAAGTGTACCGCGCATTGTGTGCGCGCTGTCGCAGTTCAAACATTTGATTCGCATCTCGTGGTGAACATAATTGTAACCAAATTGTAGCAATTCCGGGAAAAATTCATTTAAAACCAAATAATTTCTTCGCCAGTGTGTTATAAAGACACCATATTAAGACTAACAACGTAGTACGTACTCTCAACCGGATCTAGTGTTCTCTATAAAGGTCCTTCATTAGCTACCACCGAGCTCAACATCAGTCCCATAATTTGCCCATCTAGCATTTATAAGAAATCAGCAAAGCGTGTAATGATAGAACTACAAAGCTCAGGAAACAATGAAGAATGGCCACCTTTTCTGTTACATAATTTACCTGGGCTACGTAAATCGACAAGATCAGGCACTCAACAAATCAACTACCGAGAATTACCTATTAGGAATAAGTAAAACTAGACAATAAGCACACTAGTCACTATCAACCATATGCCACATTTTTCACTGCCATATTGATAGCGCTAGCAGATGCTGATTAGACATGGGCTCAGTTATTTTTATTTGTTTTAACTTCAAACAGAGCACTATACTGATACAGAGCACTATACTATCGACTCTGCACTGCCCACTAATCGTTAATCCAACACAAGTAGCTTTAAAACAGTGCGTGTGATCATCTGTCGTATCAAATTAAATTATTTTTCACTATGTTAATAAATCGTGATATAATGCAAGTTTTAATTTTTAAAGTTTTGGTTTTTTAAATGAATAAACGATAAAGGTTATATCATAATTTTCAATTCTCATATTCACGTATATTAAATAAATTGATATTGTTAATGTATCATATGATTTTGTAAACATTGGCCGGTGTACCAAAAACCGGTTCCCAAACAAAAGACAACACTAAATTACAACAAGTATCTCATGGTTCTCCTCGAGCGGGAATTGATGTGGTCTGGGATCGTTAATGAGATAAAGTGGGATAAAGTGGCACGAAAGTTGTGGGTATTTTAATTTGGTACGGGATCGTTTATACATTACGTAAGCCACCATTACTGCCACTTACTAGAAGATTGATAATTGGTTTACTGTAGACTGAACTGTTATAATTTGTATTTGCAGGGATCCCTACCATTCGACCACCAAGACATGTCCAAGTTGTTGGAACGAGTACGAACGGGCAAGTATTCCATGCCAACGTGGATGCCGGCCGAAGCCCGATCTTTAATACAGCAGATGTTGCAAGTTTCACCTGACAAACGCATCACGGTATATATTGGATAATGCTCGTTGGTTTTACTATGTTTAAGTCAAACTCATGCAGAAATATTAGAAAATGTTGTTGTTGGGAAATATATTTGTTTGGTTCCGGGGATCTTGTTGCAAGATCGATCTTAATTTTTTGTATTTCAGTTACAGAATGTTTTCAAACATCCGTTTCTGCTACAGCACAAGGAGCTTAAGGAAAGCACTTATCTCCGACCTATTGAAACAGGTTTGATGAATTTGAGATTGAAACGAAGATAATTGTAAGAACATCTTGTGGTTTTCTTATTTAGATGACTTTTACATGATTTGCAAACAAATTGTAAATTACTGACAAACTTGCACTGTTCGAAGCCATATTTCAGAGCTCTCTGAAAATTTGAATGCACAAATTTACCGAATCAAGACTGAAAATTAACCCTCACGATTTCAGTTTTATACACTCAGCCACTAAACCACAAAGATGATTTAGACAATGATATTGTGAAACAGATGTCATCTTTGGGATGCTTTAAAAGTTGTGATGATCTGACTCAGAATCTTATAGACTCAAGGTAAAAGCCAAGTTTTAAGATCGGTTACTCGACATCTTTCCTCTCAGATCATGACGATAATAATGGGGTGCGAGATCAAAGATGGTGTGAAATGCGAATACCTCCTTTTTGATAACCTGTTTATTTAATCAATCATTTGATTATCCAATTAATTCCAGACACAACATGGAAAAAGTGGTATACTTTCTCCTGCTAGACCGGAAGCGCCGCCAGCCTGCCCTGAAAGACAGCATTCCTCTCCGGAAGAGATGGAAGAACCGAGCAAGTAGTCGGGAGACGCCCCACAAGAGGGTGGACAGCGTGAAGCTGGATACCTGCGAGCCTGCTGCTCCAGTATCTCCCCAGATATCAGGGTGTGTAGGCTGTGTGATATTACGTGTGATATGTGTGATATTATGTGTGATATTACGTGTGTTACATGTGATATTCCGTGTGATTTTTCAGCTGTGTAATATTGTCCATGAAAAATTCATTACAAGATTTTTTTTTGTAAATCTATAATTAACGTAGGTTTATAAACCCTACGTTAATTATAGATTTACAGTTTACACCGGTTTTAAACTTGCTTGTTTAATGTTTTTCCTCCGGGAAAGTTTCTAAATGTCGTTACTTAAATATTGACGGTACAGTCACAGGTCGTTATGTAAAGCTGCGTCTGCTGGTGAACCCTCGACTAGCCCCCCTCCTGAAACTTATGTCTCTGACACCAGACGATATTCTCTCGGGTCAGTTGTAGCAGTGATTTTAGCTGCAATCTTTCACAACTTGTATTCGATATTCTTATCTCCAGCTTTATATTGGACACTTTAATTCACTTTAATTCGGAGGATACAACCCCAAAGAAGAACTAAAAAACTAAACGAAAAGTCACAATATATCCCTACTTAATGATGATCGTATCACTAAATAAGTCGTTAACACTTCTCACTCTCCAGAACCCGGCTGGACAGCATAACAGAAGCGGACACATCTTCCAGCTGGAGACGAATCTTCTCCACCTTCTCCAGCTCCTCCTCTTCCCACCGCTCGCTCGAGAGACTCACATCACCAAACATGACGTCACGTGAGAGCTGCGTGACGTCACGGGAGAGCTGCGTGACGTCACGGGAGAGTTGCTATGCGTCGTCAAGAGACAGCTGTTCTGCTTCTCGGGACAAGTTGGCGTCGGGGAAACGGGCACTGTCGCTTTCTGTTGGAAATAATTTACCAACACATTCGGGTCTTGTAGCTGCACATTCGCCTGGTAAATAAAATACGTTTCCTTATAAATACATAATCTGTGTTACATGGTCTAGGTGCCTCAAAAGTGATCTTAAACGATACCAAGGGAATTTTGGTGAAGGCATGCCTCACAATCTAGCATGTTACTAAAGAGAAACTTTATATGTACATATAAATAGATGTGATATAGTGTGTTATCTTTGTAATGTATTCTGTAAATACATATATATTTTAGAGCGAGGAGAGAGAGAAGAAGAGACTCGAACAGTTAAATCGTTGTTACCATGGAAACAAAAGAACAAGGAAACATTTGTAGTGCTGCGCGGCACGACACTAAACCAGTTTAACATTGATTTCGTTCAAATTGTACAGAAATTTAAAAGTGAGCTCCGTTTACTGTTCTCATTTAGAGAAAATAGTATTATTTTTAAAGATCTGCATTATATTTATCCAATGATGCATTAATTATGCACTAATCGATAACGTAAATTCAAATTATGGATCGCAATTAACAATTTACCCGACATCGCAACCGGCTAGTAAATCGTAAAAACATTTTCCAACTAACATATTCCCAATTTCAGTTTCACACAGTATAGTTGACTGGGGTTATCTGTGTAAATATAACAGCAGTAAGAAAGGTTTACTAAGTAAAAGCGTCAAGTTTTATGTAACTGCGGATGAGAGGTATGTTACTATTTTAACCTTAAAATAGATTTTTTAGCCGTGGTATTAAGTATTAACAAAACTGTAATGAAACGTGCGATTCATTTGGATCTTTTATTTTTAAATCTTTGATTGCAAAAACTCGTACCTGCCCAGTCCTTTTTGTAAATTTGTAATACCTGCTCTGAACGCACGTCTAAATCGTGTAAATGATTAATCACTGTGTTTTTCAGGCCGGCTAACTCTCAAGGAAACGATACAGTTATATGCGTTTCTATTCAGTATAAATCAGGTTTGTCTTCATTTTTTGTATCATTTCATTTTTATTTACTACTTTAGATTAACGTCTCGCAAATCAAATGATTGTATTTAAAATCATCGGGGGGGGGGGGGGGGGGTGGGGGTATAATGGCATGAAATGGCATAAGTGTCAATTTGCCCAAAGGTTTTTCCATTTTCTTTATAGAAATTTTCTCCATTTTATGCCATTTCGGAATTTAAAATTTAGACCCTTTAGAAAACCGATGGACCAATTCTATAGTAAACGCACAAAACAGTTACAACAAGCTTCAAAGAAAGATTTATAAGTGTGAAGTGTGAACGTTTCAGTCTTAAATCTTAATTTTGTTAACCCTTTTTGTGAAATTATTTGGCCCAGTTAAGTTATGTGTTTAATTGAATAATAGATTAAATGTTCCTCCCTCCAAAGAAATAAATATCAACGATAACTGGTGCTGTGGAAGAAGCATCTAAATTTATGTTAAAATTCAATCGTGTATTTTATTGTAAATTAGAAGTCCCTCGATGTAAAAAATGTAAAGGAAAATATTCTGGACCAACTTTAAAACTATTTTCAAGTAAAAAATGTTTTTTAAGCAGGTTTATTCGCTGGATCAACCTTCGGCAGTGGCTAAATTAGTGTTTTACTGAAATTCGGGTTGGACTCGTGAGTCGTGATCATCCTTCAAGTTCAACGATTATTAAATCATTTTTCAATATTTAATGATCAGTTTCATGTAGCAGTGTCCTGCTGTTGTCCTTGAACTGCTTGCAGATTTGTGGGCATAATAATTCGGTTGGTGGATTCGTTCTCCCAAACAAGCCCTGACTCCTCCCCTCCATCTGAATTTCTAGTATGCCTCCTCGTCGTAGACATCATAGTGGACAACCCTCTTTCCAGCCCCGATTTACTCTCTCCCATCTTCACAAACATCCAATTTCTTAATTTCCTCATCCTTAAAAAGTAGAGACAAGGATTGAGGGCTGCGTTGAGAGTGGTAAAGAAGTGGTGACTGAGAAGCCAACCGTACCACATTACAAATTGGCTTGTGTCAAAGAAGCTTCTGTCCAGTTTGAACCAGTTTAGACAGCTATCAGTCAGTTGAATCGAAAAAAGAGGCAGATTACAAAACAAAAAGACGACTGTGAAAAGGGCTATCGTCACGGAAACGTCCCTAGACTTCCTATCACCCTCGCACCCAATGTTTTTTCGTCTCAAAAGCACAGCGGAGCTTATGAAGAAGCTAATAAATACAGCAATAGATATGATGAACACGATGGCGAGGAGCTGCAAGATATACATTAACCAAATGTAGCCCGCTGGATCTGTGGTTGGTCCCACTCCACAGCAGCCCGCAGGCGACCAAAACACGAAACTGACATACCCCAATCCAAGATACACCGAGTCCATTGTCAACAGATACATTCCAAAACATCCACAAGCGGTCAGAGCAGCTTTTCTGTTAACGCGGTTAAACGGCAGGAAAATAGCCATAGCTCTAGTGGAACTGACAATAAGGACCATGAACATCGAGAACCGCTGGAGGAAATTAAAAACTAAAGCCCAAGCCCCACAGACAATATAGTTACTGAACAAAACTGGGAGTCTGTCGTTAAAAAGCACAGCTACGACAGGGAACGCAAAGATACTTGTGCATGTGTCCACTCCGCACACGATTACATAAAGGCGCATGGGAAATGAACTGCCTCTACGCCTCCAGAAGTAGATGCCAGAGGAAATGTTGCCCGTAATACCGAGTATCATGCAAAGCACGACAATCCCTCCGATGGTTCTGTCGATGGCGTTGTTGGAACCAGGGACAAATATCACGAAACTGGAAAATTCCGCCTCAGTGGCGTTTTCCATGGTAATTCTAGTCCTGGGATGTTTTTTAAAATTATTAGAGTTCTCTGTATAATTATCATAAATTATGTAAAAGAGTGCAATCTTTTTTAAGCTATCCAACTAAAGCATCAAATTCAAAACATTATACATATTCAAAACAAAAATTAATTAATAGTAATCTTTTTTCGCTCTTGTTAGTGGGTCGATTATATTTGATAGTTGGGGACGAAGTGAGAGTCTCCACTCAGTGTTTAAAACACTGAGTGGAGACTCTCACTTCGTCCCCAACTATCAAAAAAAAGTTAAATAAATTACAAATATAACGTAGATTAAATAAACTAGCAGGTTTTTTGATACCACTTGGGGGTCCAAATTTTGGGCACTAAAATTCTTATTCTTTGGCCAGTTTTTTATTTTATATGCTGATTTAAAGGTCATTAAAGCATTTGAACCAGTCAAAACAGTTTAAGTTGTATATCATTTACGGTTAGTCTTGTTAAAGTTGATGCCACGGTGTCAGTAAAATAGTTCGGGTATATAAACATATACATACGCAATGAAACTACCGGACTACGATGTATGGGGACTTGCCACCCCATTGCAACATTAAAATATATTGACTCTGTTACATCGTTTCCTGTTAATATAAAACTCCGTTACAAATTGAACTGGGATCTGGTAACTCTACACCTTAGATCAATAAAATATGATAAAGTAATGTATAACTAGACTGAAGTAAAAGTCTGATAGAATATAGAAAACAAAATAGTTTACTGCTTGAAAGCTTAATAATTAACATTGAAAGAGAGGTCAACGTAAATAAAACTAGCTTACGCAAAAGGTAACATGCATAAGAAATTAAAATATATATTATATATATAATTCGAACAATTGAAACAAATCAAATTGGCGGGCAAACGATCCGTTTCATGATATGTATAAAACAATATCAATAATCAGTGATGCTCCTGCTTAACTGCAGTCGATCAGTCTCTTTAGGGAACCAAGCAATAACTATTTATTATATTTTATATCTATATTTATATATATTTATTACGATATATATATATATATAATATAATAATATCATTATATATATTAATACTTTCAACACTACTATATAACAAATAATTTGAGATAACGATGTTTAATAAATGATGCAAAGAATGATCTAATCAACACCGACTTTTAATGTGTAGGAGTACAGTAACGAAATATATATATATCTTATGATTGAATGAGACTTACTCACAAATTTCCCATCTCAGTATTGATCTATTTTTGTCATGTTTTTAATTTACTTCATAGAACAGTTATTTTAATAAACTTGCTTTCAGAATGAGACATGTAAAGATTACACAATCGATAGCTTAATGTGAATTTCGTGTTTTACTGTTTCACTGAATGTCTCAAATATATATATATATATCGTCTCGCTTTATATATAGTAAGATTAAAATACACAACGAATCTATTTATCGATCTTTGTTCAAACTCTTGCACAAAATACATCCACGGATCGATTCCGAAAGTAGATTTAAACTAAATCAGTCTAATTTGTATTTTTGAGTGAGTGCGTGACGCCTGAAACCAACCAAGCAACAAGAGACGTAACAAATAAAACGTAACAATAGGACATGACCAAATACAAGGGAACCAGAGAAACTAATTGACCACGTTGTTGAGACTTGACAGTGCAATGTAATCTGGAGTTGCAAAACATAGCGCAGACTCATTTTAAACACCGACTCCTGTCAGATGGAATAAAGCCGTAGTACATACATATTACATTACGATGGAAACTACATTGCGATGAAAACTGCGATAAAAAGCCGCGCCGTAACAGCCGTGAGCGTGTATGTTTCGGTGCTGTAAACGGAACGTTACTACATGTAAACATACTAACAAGGGTGGTCCCCTTGAAAGTCATCCCTGTTTACATGTACAATGTGCTGGGAACTTCTGCTTCACGTTTTCTACTAATTGCAATTAAATTTTATTTCCTGAGAAGCTGAATGCACTGATTTCGTTTCCAGCAGTTACCTAATATAATAAACGTTAAACAGTGCAGATCACTGTGAAAGACACAAGAGACACCCTAGCCATGAATATTTAGGAGACATATTAGCAATTTGGACCGGGGCTACAATCATGCTTATAACCTGAGTTTCGTAAATTAGTCCGATAATAATTGTTATTAATGGTCTTCAATATTTTTAGGATGCCATTCGTCCCCCTAGCTGAACACAACTAACACGTTTCTCACTCCGCAAAACCAAGATAATTAACACATAATATCTGGAGGAACAACTTCGTCTCAATCACATGTTCTACAAGCTTCTTTAAACCCTAGTATTAAATCATATTTAACACTAGACATGAGTCGTACCTTCATGAGGGCAAGTTCTAATTTAATTTAAGATCTTGGGATTTGCAGTTCATTGAGCGGTAAACAAGAAGACAAGTTACATTATATGTGCAATAATTCATCTGAAACTCTCATAGAAATACCAAATCTCATGCGAAATCACTAGACCCCTCCCACTTTCTGCTATTTATTTGCTCCCAATTCCATATTTCACCCCCCAGTTAAACATTTTGTGGAAAAATATATATGCATATTAGCACTTAATACTAGTATTTATTTTGTTGTTTAGTTCAATTAGGCAATGTGCGGATGTGCTAGGATATGAAACACACCCAACTACCGCAATCATTCTGTAAATTGTGGCCTAATTATAGAGATTCAAATCAAGGAGCAATCAAAAACGAAACGACCAGCAATTTGCGAATAAGTGCAAGGTAAACGTGCCGATTGGCAGTAAAGATCTAAAAACTATAAACGTGATGCCATGTCTCAAGATATAACATAAACTGCAGACTGCAGAGGGTATATAATCACTAATGGTGTAATCAAGAAATTGAGTGCTGCATTTAATGACTATACAATTATAATACTCCTTGAAAACGTTGTAAAATAAGTATAAAGTTAAGTGTTACGAAGTCCATGAGGTTAAAAGCAATGGAATAGCTGAGAGTAATAAACGTTTTGCTATGTGGCATGATTGTATAATTGTATTGTATCAGATGCCATCGTGGAGTAGGTGGTCTCCTGCACCTTTTCCGCCTTGACATAAAAGAAAAAACCTAGACATACAACCTGCAATTCGAAGTTGATTGCAGCCCTTACGGAAGACTATAAGGTCTTCATTCTTATATAATTAAATGATTAAATGATACATAACGATAACTTGTAAACCCCAGAAGTTTCCAGTATCGTCATGAATCGATATACTCACTGAGATTGGTGTCACTTGGCCATGAGAAAAGCTGGGATTGACCGTAAAATTGTATACAGATAAATGCCCTTTGTATAACATTTATTCCTCTGAATTAAAAACACCGAAGGTGTAAAGTATGAACCAGTATGAAATCATACTGATTCATACTTTATTAAAACGTGTGTGAATTAATATGGTGTAAAGAGTGCATAATAACCATGTGGCATGATAATGACGTAATGATGGGGACTAATTTTCAACCTCAAGAACTGTCAGAGGGTGAACTGAAAGTGAACACATTTCAAATTCCGCTAAAGACTAAATAGACGATAGATAATAAATTGTTGATAAATCTTCTGTTATTTAAATGAGGTTCCTGATAAGCCTTATCAGTATAAATTATGATAATTAGTATCAGACAATTGACTGATTCAATTAAAATCGTGAAACAACTCTTTATTCTTTGTTAACAAAGCTTAGTTATGCACCTCTGATAAGTTAATGTAATACAGTGTTAAATTGTATAATTATAAAATAGAACGAAAAAATGATTCAACACCTGGTTCTTCATAACAAATAATTTGAATGATTCTTATGAAGAAATCTTGCGATTCACATTTTTACTTCTTTTTAAAACGTTATGTGCAAATTTTAGAAGCTACTACAGGATCAAGCAACTAAGGGCAAATCTAATCCAGAGCCTCTTCGACCCTCTTTTAAAAACACTCTCGAAACTCAATCAAGCATTGGCGAATATGATTCTCCCTAATTAATCTAATATCAGATCGTTAGGCTATCAAATCGTGTCCCTAAAGCAAGGTGGAAGCTCCTAGGTCATATCTTGCGTAGTGCTGATGACTCCCCCGCTGCATTAGCGTTAAAGTTTGCTGTCACAACAAACTGTAAAGGGCGCGTCGGTGCGCATCGTAAGAATTTGTTCAAGATTATTGTGAATGATTTGACCCGTAGAGGTTTAAAACTTAACTCTTTGAATGATCTTAATAAGCTTAAGATATTAGCCGATGATAGAGTTGCTTGGAGAAACAAATTTTTACTCTAGCTGTCTTGATCTGTACTGATCACCATTTTAGGATGACTTGATTTCTTCTAGGGGTTTTGAATATTTTAATGGTGTAAACAGTTTCTTAATAATAATAATCTAATATACCCTATCCAGTAAAACTCCGATTTACCGCGGAGTTTGGGGAAAGCAAACATCCGCAGTAAATCGGGGTTTGCGGCAAATCGGAGTTTTGTTTGTTGACATAATGCATGTTAACTGTTAAGCCCTATATGGGGGAAAGGACATGGGCACGGTAAATCGGGGTTTTACTGTATATATAATATTTAATCTCTGCCATTAATAATTCATTGTTCTTAATAAGATGATACATAACACCCAATTAATATTCCATAAAAGAATACCACGGTACGAGTGTTCACATCATAATATAATCAAGCTAATTAAGCACTTCTTCGGATTCAGAAATGACGAGGTGCCAATTTCCATGCACCAAAATTATTTCTTTAACGTGATAATCACAAAATAGGAAAAAAGTCGCAGTTAAGTTCTCGATCAGTCCAAAATGATAATAATGATTTGAGGGTCAATTAAAGTTTTCTCTGTAAATGATGAATAATATTATTTTTAAACTATAGCAATCAAGACAAATGGTCAAAATGACACCCTCATTAAAATATTAGTCCTCAACCATTAAATTATCTAGAAGATGAAGACGAATATTTCATTTATAAATCTTGTCATGAGCGGTTCTTTTTGGCAATGTTATAATGAGAACAGCTGTCAATTATTCAATGACCGAGGTCGTTTTTCAAATCAAAGAGCAACGAAAAAAACCTCTACGTCGAAATTAATGAGGTACATTGCAGAGAACGTTAGTTGTCATGCGCGAAACCCCTGAACAACTCTTACACATTGTCAATTGTTGACTTTTGGTAAAAAGAGAGTGATGTTGAGTTAAGATCGTGTTGTCTGCTCATTAGCTATGAAATTGTGGAGCTGTAATAAGCTGCAGGACATCATCAGCACAATGTTTATGATTTATCGTACCAAAGCAAGAGTATTGCAGAAAAATGTTGAAGCGTTTGCAAGCTTATAGCGAGTATACTATTTGACAACATAGATGTAAAAAATATCCAATACAATTCAACTCATCTAGCAATTCAATTTAATTAGAAACTTTCGCACTTTTTGGTATAAATGGTTGCAAATTACTCGAAAAGATAACCATGTAATAAAATCTAAAGTTTATACAGATAATAATTAATATAGCCATTGCGATCATCCTTATTGTTCATAAATTTCCACGACCTTCCAAAATAAAAAATCTGTTAATTTGTTTTATGGACAGCTTGGCAAAGATATAACTGTGTTGAAATCTTATCTCAAGAGCTGGCCGGTACAACGTCCGGTGAACTGTAATTCAGTGTTTTTCTCTACAAAACTGAAAACGAGTCTAGCCAGATTTCACCACTAGTCTAACAATTTCTCAAGCTCAATTAAATATATGTCGACGTGGTGGCCTACATGTATTCCTCCGAAACAATTCATCTATGTTTCAAGTTTGATTTCAGGGCGTTCTTTAAGTTCAACCAGCAAATAAAGCCAAACTAATGCCGTTTTACTATCACACTTGCACTGTAAATTAAAACCTTAACAATGAATTTGTTTCAGGGTCCACAAAGAAGTTTAAACGTTTGTGTGAGAAGATTCAACTAGCCTTGTTCCGACCTACAAACAACAGACCCTTCTCTCCCATCTTAAGAAAGGTACGTAACGTAACTTCGTTTACTTGAAATGTAGACATTATCGATCAATCATTTAATTACAATTTATTAATTAACAGTTTGTTAATTAACAGTTTATCAATTAACAGTTTATTAATTAACAGTTTATCAATTAACAGTTTATTAATTAACAGTTTATTAATTAACAGTTTATTAATTAACAGTTTATCAATTAACAGTTTATTAATTTGTATTCCGCTCAGGTCTGCAGTTACCTCAGCGAGAGCGATGGGAAAATGACGAGTGACACCGACTCTCACGGCTCATTTGACATGCTCAGTAGCAACTGTAGCGACCCTTCATTCTGATTTAAGAGCACGCAGTCAAACTTTTAGTATAGTTATACGCGCCCACGTGAGCAGTATTTCGCGCGGCTCATCAGTGGTTTGCGCGGCTCATAATGTCATTTGCAATACGCCTCATGACCGAATTTATATCAGGTTCAATTAGTGGACCCTTTTTGATTGGTGTTGAATTATTTTGTTTATGTTATTGGTTGATGAAGATCAATTTAACTGCAGTTATTTGGTGACTCGGAAAACACCTCTATTTCACAAAATTGCTTGAATCAGTCAGAGAGCAGTGTACAGACAGGCCAAGAAAATAATTAATGATAAATTATTAAATTTAATTATCAATCATGCCACCAATTTTTTTTTGTTGTTGATTGATATAACATAATAGGTTTCATGTGTGGTTGATTTCTGACCCGGAGCAAGGTAGTTAATTTGAATAAAATCTTGTATTAGGAATAGGTATAAGTATAACATGAACAATTTATGTAAATGTGTTGTAATTTTCACTTCAAATACAATTTTAGTTTCAGAAATTTCGCTCACTAGAAATAAATGATTATGTGCATTTTGGTAGCGTTTTTCATAAATTGTTTGATTTCAAATTTGTACAGTTAAACTTATAGGATCTCCGAGGACGTTGTTATTCATGATTTCATTTTCAGAGCATGAGAATTGAGCCAATTATTATTTGTTTTAGACGCCAGAATTGATGCAGATGATTTGAATGTTTGGATTTCTAAACATCGATTTAGGGTAATTCTGGAATTTTCTGGAATTTTCTGGAATTTTCCAATTAGTTGATACAGCGACATTAGAATTTTTTCATTTAATTTTACGACAGTCACTTCAAAGCAATTTCACATTTATAATTATAATATGTATTGTTTTATCGTGTATGGGGAAGGGTTCCAATTAAATGCAAGTGTAAGATTATTTACATCAAGCTTTATTAAGAAAAACATGTTATCATTGAAGGACCGAGATTTTATATTTTTGTGTCGTCGATTTATATTTTAAATTTTCAGCTGCAGCTATAACTATAAAATCTTTTGTGTTTTCAAACTTTAATTTAATTTAACCATTAACATCGCTCCATAAATCTACCAAAATTATATCAAAACTTGATGAGCTACTTTAATTATGCCTTGGCATTTTTATTCACGCAACTGCCACCAGAGCTTGACTCACGACCCCAGGGTCCCATTGTCATTTCCAATTTCATTTAGTGGTATCAGGGTGAAAGTATTAACGGGTGATACTCGTAAAATATCTGTTCCATATATTGGAACAGGACCGTCGACGAGTCCAACTCGGCGCGCGTCCTGGTAGGTTGTAAACCTACAATGAAAGTATCGGGATGAAAGTCACGATACAGCCGCGCACTCGTGCGCGGCGGGCCTACAATGTACAACGTGAGGCAACAACAGAGCTACATCAATTAACTTACCTGGGGACCTCAGGCTATTTAGTGTATGTACTAAGAGCGCCAACTTGTGGGTGAACATTTTATGTCTCAAAACCCAACATATTATACATCATTGGAAAGGTCTCATTGAGTAGAGTCGTTTGGTACCAAGTTTTGGTACCAAGTTTTGGGGAAATGGCTGCTCCTAGCGAAAGTTATAGCCCGTCAAAGTCCCAAAATTGTCACTTCAGAAAATTGGGCGGGACATCGTGTTCTTAAACTTTTTGACGAATTTTTTTAACATAATATTGTTAATCACATTTTTTTACACAAGATTTGCTGTATGCCGTAATTTTTAATCCATTATTACAGTCACAATCAATTTATTTTGTCATCAGAGTTTGAATTACGTAAAGAGACAATCTGTATTCCGCATGGTTCCCGGCGCGCTAGTTTGTCTACAAATTATTAATTCGCGCGTTACAATATCAGATTTACCCAGCAACGCACATGTTCGCACGGTAGTCAGTGTAATAAGCGCCTCCCTAGCATCAGCTGTAGGAGTAACAGCAGTACAGATGTCAAACTGAAGGTTAAGTTACATGTCTAATGGAAGAGGGCATTTCTCTGTTATTTTTGTGCTTTCAAAACAAAAATAAACGGAGCATTTGATCGAAATTTATTTCAATCAAAATATAGATTAACAGTCATTTAGTCAAGCTAAAAAATCAGCTCTAAATCGAATCGAGAGATCCTTATACAGTTTAAAATTTAAAATTTAAAATGTCTATTTTACTAGCAGTCAATATAATATTTGTTTCATACAACAAGACTTGCTGAATAGCAAGGTTGCGGCTGCTTTTAAAATCATTCCATAGATTTAAGCATTTATTCAACGGTAAAAAATGTACAGTCTTTAAGTCCTCCTTATTTGTACGACTCAAAACTGGTTAGCATTTATGTAACATTTCTTTCTCATAAACAAGTTTATCACATCATCAGATAAAAAACATTTGAAATAAATTTATAACAAAAATACAGCAGATTTCCTTCTCAGTTAGATAATTATTAATATTCTAGTAACTTATAATATTTAAATGGGTAGGCATTTTTTGTCCTGTGAAATGCGACCTCAAAGGACGTATTTAAGATTTTGAATCCGTTCAGTGCATTAAATAACGGTAGTTCGAGTGGTATCCGCTTCAACTACATAAATTACCTCGGTTTGAGCAAGCTTTTAAAATGTTCAGGAAGAAGGACATTTATTCCCTATATATTTACCAGTACAGTGCAGTTATCCTGGATTATCATAACTGGGAACATGACGTACAATTATTATCCGTCATGTAATGGACCAAATCTAAAAAGCCAATAACGAAGTTTAAGATGTACAATGTACATAAGATGTATATTGTATAATCATGCAAGATGTATGATCCGTTAAAATGGAGTTGGTACTCCCCAAATTGGCGCCATGTCGTCTGCTGTTTTATATACTGTCGTGTGCTCCCGGAAACTCACTCTTATAATATGTCATATGACTGTGCCTTAAATAAACAAAAGTTCGGCAAGTACAGAATATAGCGAGACCGCTTAATACATATAATATAACGGCCCTGTGCCGATAAGTGCAGATAACTGATATATAGTGCAAGAGATTGCAATAAGATAAATTCGGACTTCCGACAGATTTATTGAGTGTGGAAAAGTTACATCCAAATGCGAATAAAACGTCCTAGATAATGATTTTGGAGATATTAATATGTATGGTTAATGGTTATCGTTTAGGGCGATGAGGCAAAAAAATTCTTATGAATAATTTCAGCATATTCTAAACTGTCTGTGCTGACTGCACTTTTTGTTGGAGAGCTATCTAAAAGCTCTTGCAGTTCTTTTATCGTTTCCTCCTCGTCAATAAGATCAATAATATCTCGTTTGGGTTTCGAGTACGGTGTGGTACTTTCTTCTCCAGTTCTTACAAGTATTGGAGTTGACCTTGTGCTTCTTAATCTTCGTACCCTAATTGAATTGAAATATTCATCGTTAGTTTATGAGACTTAAGCCAATTCTTTCCAGGAACGAATGCTTGTTATCATACAGAGCTAAGGGGCCAATGGGTATTTTTTTTTGTGAAACTTGATTTTAAGATAGCAGTTGACCAACAAACTAAGACTAGTGACCGAACTTTTGAGGGGGTCTCCGACCCCAACCGCCAAACGGTGCCCGCGGGGCAGCCACGCCCATATTTGGTCCGATTTAGCCAAATACCCTTCACATGCCCAAAACCCAGATTTTAGGTGCTTTACTTGTAACTAGTGGTCTTCTGAACTCGTATATGAAATTTCATCAAGATTGGACAAAAAATGACTGAGTTATGAGCCAAAAACCATATGCCCATATTTGGGCATACGCACCAATTTTGGTAGATTTCGTCTCATAAATTGGTCAAATATCAATATTTTTGAATTAAACTTACTTTATATGAAAGGTAAGCCTAAACTAAATATTCTCTGTAAGTTATAGCTTTATGTCTGTTTAAATGTGGATACTAAGGCGAAAAGACCACAAAAAATGAACTAAATTGCCCGTATCTTGGTTCGCGATATTCGCGTAATTGATCTCATTAAAATTGTAACAACTCAATCAGTTTTCAAAATTTTTCCATGAAATTTTCGGAATCGACTCGAAATCGCATTTCCACCTTATTTTGAGAACTGATTTTTGATCAAAAAAATTTGGCGACCAAATTACAAAATTTTCCCATGTTCAGGGTATTTGGCTAAATTGGGCCTAATTTGGACCAAATATGGGCGTGGCTGCCCCGCGGGTACCGTTTGGGGGTTGGGGTCGGGGACCCCCTCAAAAGTTCGGACACTTGTCGGCTTGTCCTGGTTTGTTGCTATCTCGAGATCAAGTTTCACAACAAAATATCCATTGCCCCCCTTTAGGGAGCATACACCAAAACAGTGGTTTGTGCCGTCCAGATCAAATGACCTCATAGGCAGTTCAGTGACCTTCTAGCGCACCGTTTAAAGCGAGATTAGGAAGGCAACAAATTTACATTTTTTCAAAGGATGGCGTCCACTTTAGTTCACTGTTTTTAGAACTTACTAACCATTATTAGACAGTATATTTCCAAAATAATTAGCTTTTAGGTAAATGTAACAAATCACTATTATCTGATATTGAATAACCTTTTCATCTTGAGCTTTGTCAACTCAATCCTACCCTGACATCTGGTCACCGAATCAGTACAATCCTGAAAATATTTCACATGAGATTTGCCTTCGTTTCACGTTTGGTGAGAAGGAAAGTTATGCATTTTAAATTGTTATTGCATTAATTAAAACCCCCTGTGGTCCTTCTAATAGGACATTAATATTTTATTAAAAGAACAACCAGCATCAAACAACATAATCTGGTATAAAATATGCTTCGCACAATACTGACCTTACATGTCAGCAAATGTTCCATGTTCTTTAGAGTAGTAGCCATTTTTCTATTCTGAGACAAACACATTTAGCTGCTATTAATATTATAACGCAGTATGCAGATAAGCAAACAAATATTTAGTATGATTTTTGTGTATGTAAAAATTATCCTTAAAATACTTTTGGGGTGACATTTAGTAGTTCAATGATAGAGAAAATAAAACAGAAATGTATTGTGACAAACATCGAGCCATAATTTATTTCTCTTAAGCAGAGATGCTTCGGTTTTCAAAAGAAACGATTCTTAATCGCAATAATTCATCTATCGAAAATGTTTTAATAGCTCTTGCATGCCACTCGAACACGTTGTAAAATAAGACAAACTGTTAACTTAAATTATAAGAATTTAATAACAAAAGGCTGCCGTTGAGCGTTTTTAAACGTCATCTCTGCTAATAAACAATTAGAAAATTTCTAATTTTTCTCAAAAGTCAAAGCTCTTTAACAAATTTAAATGCAAGGTACTCATGGATTTTAAATTGTTGATTTAATTTAATTATAGCGTGATATTGGACTCGTCTTGCTTGTCCATTGTCAAAATGTGCGTAAAAAAAGTTTAATTGGTCAGGAAAATATGTTATACAATAAACATGGTATAACCAAACAACGTCAATTAATTACAAAACAATATTATTTCCACAATCCTTGGCCCCCACACAAGAGATTGTGACACGAACCAATTTGAAACATTCACAAATAAATAATATTGGACTCGTCTTGCTTGTCCATTGTCAAAACGTGCGTAAAAAAGTTTATTTGGTCAGGAAAATATGTTATACAATAAACATGGTATAACTAATCAACGTCAATTAATTACAAAACAATATTATTTCCACAATCCTTGGCCCCCACACAAGAGATTGTGAAACGAACCAATTTTAAACATTCATAAATAAATAATATTGGACTCGTATTGCTTGTCCATTGTCAGAACGTGCGTAAAAAAGTTTAATTGGTCAAGAAAATATGTTATACAATAAATATGGTATAACCAAACAACGTCAATTAATTACAAAACAATATTATTTCCACAATCCTTGGCCCCCACACAAGAGATTGTGACACGAACCAATTTGAAACATTCACAAATAAATAATGTTGGACTCGTCTTGCTTGTCCATTGTCAAAACGTGCGTAAAAAAGTTTATTTGGTCAGGAAAATATGT